CGCAGATAGCCCTGGTGTAGCTTTGCGCGAAATTCAAAAACAAAAAAACAAAACAAACAAGAGCACAGATAGCCCATTGTATAGCTTTGTGCTTAATTGCAAATCAATCATCTATTCCATCATTTTCACGCACGGCATTTAAGCTACGATTTCTTGCAGGCATTATGTATTAGATCAATAAATCGTGGTCTATTTACGCGGTCAGACAAACAAATTCACGTAGACGTAACTCTATTTAATAAAACTACACGTAAAGTAAACAATAAAATATAATAATGACATTTGCAATAGTGTAAAGAGTATGAAACAGTTATGTATGCCACGGTTTTATTTTTGAAACAAAGAAACTCACAAAAACGAAGAATAAAACCAGTACTAAAGAAAACAGTAGCTAAAAGATGTTTACAACAGAATATGAAACGAACTGAAGCTAAATTATTGCAAAGTAAAGTAAATGTAAAGTTGTAATGAAGACAAATTTATCTGAATATGCAGAAATATCTCAATACGTGTTCACGAAGTGATAAGCATATGGTTTTGAACGAACTGCGCATGCGTATTTTAGATATAAATAAGTCGAGAAAGCCCATAGCAATTGTATTTAGTGTAATGTTCATTTGTTAGGAAATCACACGTGGGTTATATGTTGTTTGTGTGAAATACTTCGCAAATAAAAAAACTAAACTTGAAATCGAAGCCAGTCGTCACGTGATGACAACAATATTGTGCCATCGTGTAGCATACTCGTTGACTGAGCAAAAAACAGGTTAGCAGGTAAGCAGGAATGGAAGAACTAATATACAATCCGGACTCCTTGGACAAAGGCCTTTTTAAAGATATGAGATTTGTATCGTTTAACAGAGAGATTTGCAAGAAAAGTTCTGGACAGACAAACGCAAGCGTATTATTTATATAGATTATTTGTTTGTTTATTTGTTTTGAATTTCGCGCAAAGCTATACGAGGGCTATCTATGCTAGCCGTCCCTAATTTAGCAGTGTAAGATTAGTGGGAAGGCAGCTAGTCATCACCACCCACCGCCAACTCTTGGGCTACTCTTTTACCAACGAATAGTGGGATTGACCGTCACATTATAACGCCCCCCACGACTGAAAGGGCGAGATTATTATTATTATTAAAAACCTGTTGCTTAGTGTTCTCTCATCTACATTCTACTGTCAGCACGCGCTGTTCTTTCCTCGTATATTCTATTCCAATAGCTAGCTTGTATTTCATCAGTTCAATTGCAGATTCTGTAGAGCTAGCACCTGAGAAAGGCCCATGGCCGAACATTTGTACGTTGTTTTAAGAATAAGTAAATAAATATATAAAAGGTTTTATATGTTGAGAATGTAGATTATTCAAGATCTATTATATGACATATTGTACTCTTACAAAAGCCGGCCTGGCATGGTCAGGTAGTAAGGGCGCTCGACTCGCAATTTGAGGGTCGCGAGTTCGAATCACCGTCCCACCAAACATGCTCGCCCTTTCAGTCGTGGGGGCGTTGTAATGTGACGGTCAATCCCACTATCCGTTGGTAAAAGAGTATCCGTGATGTGGTGGGTGGTGATGACTAGCTTACACTGCTAAATTAGTGACGGCTAGCGTGTAGCTTTGCGCGAAATTCAAAACAAACAAACTCAGAAAAGCACTATATAAATAAAAAATAATCCCACAGCACGTTTCACCCAGAACTGTTTTATTATATTGTATTTTTTTCAGCTACTGTCGTTCAAAAACAAACTTGTAACCTATGGCGCTCAAAGATCCTCGAACAAAAGGCGTAAATCGCAAAGTAGGGTTCAATATAAAGTTTTTTTTTGCCCTCCTCAAATACGATTTCTTTCCTTTAGTTGGCAGCACTGAAATTTGTTAAAACTGATGAAAAGTAGCTGTTTGTCACAAGTTGTTTCTCAGAAGTATGTGGGAAGTGGATCTTTGTTTTGCTCGAGTCACTTGTAATTGACGCAGAATCGTGAGAAATCGCTAGTAGTGCTGTAATAACCCAGAACTTAATACTTCTTTTTTATGTATATTTTCAAATTCATTGTTATATCTTTCTTTATAAACCTATTAGTGTTTATTTAGAAGGACCTATAAATTATAGAAATGAAGGATGAAAAAATATGAATTGAATAAATATGTATTTTTATTCTCAGCCTGAAAATCACCTTTCAGTTTTTTGTTCTGTGCAAAGAGCTTGAATTTCACAATCAAAGTTTTCATACAAATATTTTCTAATGTAATTTACAACAACTTTCTTTTATATAATAGAAGCATGCAACATTTTATGAATATAAACGTAATACATTCAGAGTTATAGTATCTATTATTTTACCTTGCTGTTTCGAGTCCACTGATCACTGGAAGTGAGTTTCGGGACATTTCATCTCCATTTTGAACTAAATATTTCGGCGAAACAAAGTTTAAAAAAATCACTTTCGGGCGTCTAACTCTTTTTTTTTTTAATTTGTGACTCGCAGCGTTTTTAGCTGGTTGGTCGCAAACAATTTTTAATTTAGGTCTAAACAAAAAATAAACCACGGTGGCTCAGTGGTAAACTTGAGGGCTTATAAAGTTAAAAACTGTGGTTTTATACCTGCGGTAGGCTAAGCTCAGATTGTCCATTGTGTAACTTTCCGCCTAAACATAGACAAATAAATTAGAAGAATTACAAAACCTCATAACGAAGGATCATGAAGAATATGTATAAAACTCACAGCTAAGGTTTCAGTAAATGAACTATTTCTTACCTCAGAAATTATTCACTCAAGATGTAATCACAACATTTTTTACTTCTTGTTTTATTTATTCATAGAAGCTCTTACATCAGGTATCGATTAGCACGTCGACGAAAGTGGCCACAGTTATGTTTTGAAGACAAAGAGGGTGCCACCTGCTGGAAAACTTATATCCAAGTTGAAAGGTGTATGATTCATAAGACGAAATTATCTAGTGTTTTGTTGTTGTTGTTGAACATGGTCTAAATAGAATTTAATATTTTTACTTCGTAGTGTCTTATTTAGTCCTATATTCTATTTCATAGAAAAACCTTTAATTACAATGGATCAAGTTGCTACAGCATTTCATAAAGCCTGTGCAACAGCTTTTGAAAAAAAAGTTGTAGTTATAGTGAACATAAAGAGGAACGATTTTGTTTTTATTAGGCAAATTCAAAATATTACTAGGTTATGTGATGTATAACAACAAAACGGGTTTTATTTCCATATTGTATTTTTGTAACTAACTCTGGAAAAAATTACGTTATTTGAAGATGAAAATAGAAGCTTAGCTAATTGTGGTTCGCCATGATATCATTCGCTACACACATTAGCACTCAGGCGTGACCTAATGCCGCATTTTGGTCCATTATTCGCGTGCCGCTTCCACAATATGGCCCTCCATATTTTTGGGCCATGTGTAAGTTATACGAGTGACGTTCAAAATCTCCTTTATTTAGAAAACCAAATACACAAAGACATATATTTTCAACTGTAAAATGAAATATTATAATTGACATTACGTCCAATATGATAACTGAAAATAATTTCCAGATGAAAGTAATATTATTCTTTTTATTCTGCAAATTATCGAAATAGTGTAAATAATATAATTATATGTTAAGTAAACAACTTCCTTAAAATATTAGATATTTCTAGCCCCCCAGTGGCACGGCGGTATGTCTGCGGACTTACAACGCTAGAAACCGGGTTTCGATACCCGTGGTGGGAAGAGCACAGATAGCCCTTGTGTAGCTTTGTGCATAATTAAAAAACAAAAAACAAAGATATTTCTAGCTTTTGATTGTTATATATAT